ATGTTGGTAGCTCACCTTTAGATACATTAAATTTCATTCTGCCAACCTTTTAAGATAGGCTCTGTTATAATTACAGTTGACCCTTGAATAACATGGGTTTGAACTAAGCGAGTCCACTTATATGCAAACTTTTTTTCAATAAATACCTGTACTGTTTTTGACCCACAGTTGGAAGTCAAGGATGTGGAAGGCCAACTGTACACATTGTTCTACACCATTTTATGTAGGGGGCTTGAGCATCCACAGATTTTGGTATCCTCAGGGATCCTGGAACCAATTCCCCACAGATACCAAGGGACAACTACATCTTGGAGGAGTCAAAAGTTATACTCAGGGGCCTGCCGAGTGGTGCGTTGGTTAAGAGCTGGCTTGGGATGCCAGAGGGCCCCGGTTTGGATCCCACATGAGGGTCTGTGACACTGCCCTCTACAGCTAAGATGCTGAACAGCAGCTCGACCTGGAGCTGGGCTGCTGTGAGTCACTGGTGACAGCAGGTGGTTTGCCATGGGCTACCGTGTGTAGCCAGCAGCCAGCGTGAGCAGCCAGCAGCCACTGTGAGTGGCCGTCCAGAAGCCGGCGACTGATATGCCTCGCCCGAGAAGAGTGCAGTGATGGTGCCAACTTGGGCCAGTGAAGCAACGTCCTCCACAGCTAGACTGAGGAACAAAAGAATAGCAACTTGTCTGTTCCCCTTCCTCCAATCCCCCCCTCCCCAAAAAAAGTTATACTCAAGTGTTTAACTGCAGAGGGGTTGGTTCCCCTAACCCCCATGTTGTCCAAGGGTCAACTGTACTCTAAAAGATGAGGAAACTGAGGCCCAGAGAGATTAAGAATCGTAAAAATCAGGCAGCTAGAAACAGCAAAGCCAGGGTTCAAACCTACATTATGTCTATTTGGCTTAAGTTGTGGAACTATTCTGCCTCTGAATTACTTAAGAATCAGAATAAGTTCATCAGGTGTATCAGGGGTCAATCCAAACTTGAAAGCACTGGTATACACGTGTAAAAGATTTTAGTCTATAAAATTCTTCATTAGTCCCATTTATTACTTTGTCAATCATTACATAACAAAAAGTCAAATTTATTGACTTTTTCTCTGCTCCTATTCATTCCTAAATGAGATTCTTCCCTTATCACTATATTGATATTACTCCTCTTCAAGCCTCCAATAACCTCTCAACTCCCAAATTCAATGGATTGTTTTCATTCTCACTCCTCTTGACCTTATGACAGACCAGACCCAAATGAACACTTCCTGCTGCTTAAAAGGCCTCTCCTTCCTTGGACAACACTCTCTCCCAATTCTACTTCTTAGTTTCTTTTCCTCCTCAGTTTCTTTCAACAACTGAACCCTCTCCTCTGCACAACCCATAAATTCAGGGGTTCCCCTCCCCACAGGCAATCTAGTACTTCTTTAAAAAACACAACTTATTGGGTGGTCAGGAAAGTCATGATGTATTTTTCTGTTTTTCAATGCAAAAATGCGTCATGACTTTCCTGATGACCCAATACTCAATTGATTTCTTCCCAATTCATATTTGCAAAAATCTTTGTGCATTTATATTTTAGGGACTCTTTAACATTTTAATCCACAATACTTCATTAAACTATAAACTTTATGAGGGTGGAGTATATTTGTTTTTGTGCCCCATAACATACTATAGACAGCTGTTTGTTGAATAAATGGTGTAGCTTAAAACTAACCTCATGGTGGAGCAGGCAGTAACTAAACTGATATTCTTTTTACAAAGTATGTAGTGTAAGTCACAAAATTTCTGGCCCAAAGACTACCGGTTGGGCTAGATGAGTGAATCCCTCCTATGGAGCAGATAAACCTGGTATAAGGTCTCATATACTAGCTCTAAAATTCAATGATTGGTTAAGAGCTCGCTCAAGGGTTTGAGCTCTGAGCAACAGCGGTTCAAGTCCGGCCCAAGCTGAGCTGCCGCTGAGCTGCCAACAGATGGCAGGATGGCTCAGCTAAAAAAATAAATAAAATAAAATTCAATGAGTCTAATAATTATTGCATGCTGTCTTAGCTTTTCCCTGGATTTTTAAAATCATCACGTTTTCCTTAATAAATTCAATCTTGAGTAATTTTATTGTTATTGTTGGAAAAAAACTGTGAAATACCCCTACTACCAACTAAGCACACCAAACAGAAATTTAAGAGTTAAATATACAAAGGATCAGAAGCCTATTGGTCTGTGAAGAGAAAATCATCTTAAACACAATAACCACACAATTTCTTTTTCCAATTTAGAATCATAAAAATCTTAGAAATGGGAGGAAACATGAAGGTGTTATTTAACTTCTTACCCAACCAACAATCCTTTCTACAGAGTCCTTAATATTTTTCAAACCTCTGTCCGAATAGTCAATCCTTTTATAGTCTCATTACCTTTAAAAAGCATTTTTAGACACATGACTGAAGATAACACACATAAGGCTTTAAAAGTGTTAGGTTGGAGCTAATGAAGAAAAAGATTATAGAGATTTTTTCTTTTCAATTTCTCAACCATCGGTAGAAAAAAATGCTGAAAATCTCAAGCTATGTTAAAGATAAAAAGCACACCAAGATCACTTCCAAACTCAATTCAATAGTCAACCTCTCTGACATATGTATTAACAGAATCAATGTAAAGGTGTAGGATCTGTGTTTGACTCAGCACTGTACTTGCTGGGAAGAACAATATCATTCCCCATGGACATAGGATAGATAGATCCAGTCAGGGCAGCTGTAATCCCTAGCAGGCCATCTTTGCTTACTTAAATTCCCTAAAACAAGACTCATCTCTCAATGTCCAAGTTCCCTTTCACCTCTGTAATTCTCCCCACAGACCATGTCATTAACGAGAGACATAACTTTTCGGCTAGGGATGGTAGATGATATAGAGTCACTTTTTTGTAGAGAGAATTACTGGAAGACTTTTCAACAAATCAGAAAAAAGTTTTACAGTAATTTAATAATGAGGGCGATATTCTCGATGTATATTGTACCTTTATTAGAGAAATGATACCATTTGTAGTAATTTGAATACTATTTCAAAGGTCAGACTAATTTGGAACTTTTTGGAATCTAAAATCCACAGGTAAAGCATCTTAGGTTATAATCACTCACGCAGCAGGATAATGTTGCTACTTGTATAAAATATTTCTAAGTTTCCTAAGCCAATCCTCATCATAAATTCAAAGAGAGGAGTCCACTATGATAAGCTACAAGCTTTCCATGGAAGACTGTGATATTTTATCTTTGTACTGGAAGAAGTCTTATCACAAATAGATTTTTCCCAGGTTCCTCTCACCATCTCATCCCCTGTCCTCTCCACCCCCCACCAAAGAAAGAAAACCCAAAAACTTAGTCTGGTCCACATTAATCACTAAAAATCTTTTCTCTTGTAGGATAAAAGCAAAATAAGAGTTTGCAAAGATAACCTGTACATCTTACGTGCAATAAATTCAAGCAGGTGATATGCTTCACATCAAACCCAGATCCATTTTGATGAATTTTCTCCAGGGCCCAAACGTGTGTATTATGCAACAGCCACCATTCCAGATTTTAATCCCTGTCTGTGATGCAGTGATAAAATACAAATGGCATGAGTTTACACCATTGGGTACTTAAATACGTTTGCAAAGAGGTAAATTAAAACAAGCATTACCAAATTCTCAAGACCCTTGAAAATGACAAACTGTCTAACAAACAGTTCTGGATCGCAATTACAACTTTTCTATCTGGTAGTCTTTTAGTAACCTGTCTCTCCCGCTCCAACCCCCTCAAAAATCCTCACACGCCAGCATTTCATTTGAGGTTTTGAAAGGGTCGCCCCCCCCAAAGGGGGGTGGGGTGTGCTGGCATCAGGTGGTTATCCTACAATCTACTCCTGATAAAGGTATCCCATACCAATCTCCAGAAGCTGAAAAGCGAGCAAAATGCTTTATCATTTCTCCCAAAGGGCAAGAATGAGAGTAAAATGTAAGCCTAACGCTGAGCCATAAACAATCCAATGCTTCACCCATTGATCTCCTTGGGCACAGGCCTCGAAGAACTGCATAACGGGCAGCTAAGAATTAGAACAAAAATTGCAATGAGCTGCATTCTGGAAGATAAATCTATACGATATCTATTCCAAAAGTAGTTAAGAGCACTGGGAGCATCTTTGGAGGCCACCTACGTGGGGTAACCCGAGCCTAAACGCTTAAGTTCTACGCCTGACCTGGTCCACGTCTCACCGAGCCAGGCAATCAACGCGAGCAGAACGGCTCCAGGTGGGGAAGCAGTGGCGGGGAGGGGGCTCGGGAAGCACGGGCGGGGAACGGAACGCGACCCGAGGCGAGCGAAGGAAGGGAGGAAGGAGAAGGAGACATTCCCTCACACAAAATGGTGGCGCCGACGCGGAGGCCGACGCACCTGGGGGCGCGCCACACGCCCCTCGGGACACCCGGCCGGCGTGGGCCTGTGCCGCGGCGGAGCCCGCAGGGCGGCCCGCGTCGCTGCCCTCGGGGGCGAGAGGCCGGAGCTGGTGGGAGCGCTGGGCCCGGGGCCGGACGAAGCAGCTTCGGCCTCAGCCCGCGGCCCCCGCCGGGAACGGACAGCACACTCACCTCAGACGCGCCCCGGGAGCCCGGGAAAGGAGGCGGAGCCGCGGGAATGAATGGAGCGGGCGGCTGCTCGCTGGCGACCCCCGGCCAAGGTCCGGCCGCGCCGCTCGCGGCTGCCGGGGCGAGTGCGACCGCTCCCCCTGGCCCCGGACGCCCGGCTCCCGGTCGGCGGGTCGGCCGCAGCCCACCGTGCCCTCCGCCGGCGTGACGCACTCGCGCCGCAGCGCCTCGAGCCTTTGCAGCCGTGCCGCGCCCACCGCGAATCCCCCCGCCCGCCCGCGCACCCGCGCGGCCCCTCCTCGGCGCGGGGGACGCCGCCCTGCCTGCCTCCCTCCGGGTCTGGCTGCCGGGCAGGTGTGGGCTCGGCCAGCCTGCGGGGGGGGGCGGGGGCCACACGGCCCCCTCCTCGCCACCGGCGTCCCCTCTCTCCTGCCTGGCTGCCGTCACACGGTAGAGCGCGACTCCCCAGCTCAGGGCGATGACTCGGTATTAAAGAGTGACCTTGGCTTAGATACAAAAATAGGTGCGGGTAAGCCGCGGGGACGACGACGCTGCATGTGCGTATTTAATGTCAGTCAACACGCACAGAGGCCCATTTGCACACCCCGGCGCGGGCCCTCCGGGAATTCACCCAGGGTGGGCGAGACCATCCTGGCCTCGGGACGGGGATGGGGAGGGCGCGGGCGAGGACCGCCGGCCTCCGGCCTGCCACCTCCTTCCTCAACCACTGCCACCTAGGAAGATGCAAGAGAATGGAAGGCGAGCACTCCCTTCGCAATCTAGACAAGCCCGAGAGCCTGGACTTCCATCTTGAGAGACAGCAAGGAACCACCAAATTCCTGAGTTCACCTTTTCTCTTCCAGAATCCAGCACATGCAAACTAACCCTGACCCAGAAGGATTGCGACTCCACCCTCCTTTTTCTCCCCTTTCCCTCCCAGTTTTCTTCCTGGGCCTCAACGCCCAGTGTCCTCTTGGCTAGTTACACTCCAACGGACAAAAGATAAGCTCTCAAATATTTAAAGCATGGTAGATTTCTTAAAAGTAATGCATGCCTTGGTTTAAATATGTTTAATAAATGTATTGAGAAAGAGTATTTAATTTTAAGACTTTGTTTTACAGTACCTAAACTCTGAAAAATAAACTCATCATCCAAGAGCCATGGCTTTGTTTTCAGCTCATCCAGTAAATTGAAATCGCTTCTTTAATTCATCAGAATTATTGAATAATCACAATGCCAACCTTTCACTAATTTACTAATAATCAATGAGATCAATAAATACTTAAAAGAATGTTTGTTATATTTATTTTATCCAGACTTTTAAAAAAATCTGCGTTGAGTTGTTTATAAGAATCAATTTCACATCTGTTATGTTTAATTTGTAATATTTAATTAGCAGAAATCTTAAACGTTGTACATTAAACATTTACCATTTTTAGTGGACCTTAACAATGAACTAACTAGATTTAATTGAGCTGGAACTTTGAATATAGTTGGATTTTATCCACAGCAAACCTTGAAGGGAGGGCGGGAGGGAGGAAGGACGGAAGGAAGGAAGTTATATAACTTTTGAATTTATATTTCTAGAGATGTATGTAACTAGGAATCCCCAGGGTAATCCCAAACAATTGCCACTTTGAGAAGATGTTCTTTTTTAAGCTACCAGGTGCTACAGGTGTTGAAGCTTTAGGCTTAGTACAAAGCTAGCCATGCAACTTGTTTATACCATGTTTCCCCGAAAATAAGGCCTAACTGGAAAATAAGCCCTAGCATGATTTTTCAGGATGCTTGAAATATAAGTCCTACTCCAAACATAAGCCCCAGTTAAGATTGTCAGCCAGACATGACTGTTTGAATAAATGTAGATTTTTGCACATGAGTAAATGAATAAATGTAGATTGTTGGAGCAAAAATTAATATAAGATCTGGTCTAATTTTCGGGAAAATGTGGTAATGCTTGAAATGCATGAGTGAGGTTGGCTTTTAGCTATTATTTTAGTCCTTGGGTACTTGTACCTGGGAGGCCTGTCTCCCAAATGTCTGGCCACATTGGTAGGAATCAGAACTATACCCACCTAGCCCCATAAAAGATAGGATCCAGTGGCCCCCATTCAGCCCCCTAAATCCAGCTGTCTCCTTGTGACAAGAATCCTACCTGCTGAGACCTATAGAAGTGCTGTCTCCTACCTATGTGAGGAGTGTCCCATGAGGACACTGGCTTCATTCTCTTTTCTCTGCTTGCAACATGGTGCGGCTTCGGATGTTTGAAAAAGAAAAAAAATCACTTTTTACTTCCCTCTTTGGCTGAGATATGTTAAATTTTGCTTGTGTTTACCCATACTCTGAAGATCTTTGAGCTCTTAGTGGTCAAACAACCAAAAAATGGGTCTTTATCAGATAAGCATATGCTGTAAATTGCTACCAAAATATTTTGAAACATACTTTGAGCCTTTTGTCTAAAAAGTTTTGTAGAGTTTTATTGTTAATCTTAAAAATAAAAAGCTGAAGTGAGAGGCAACAAGCTTTTATTTGAGATCAAAGAATATCTATTCCAAAAGCACTAATTCAGGCAGAAACCCAAAAAATTGTTAAGATTATGGGGTGAAGGCAAAGGGGTTTTTATAAGAAAAGGAAGGGAAATAATTACATGAATAGAAAGAAGGAATTTCTATTGGTGCTAATAAGCTAAGTTATTCTTTAGCTATACATGGCTGTTGACTGATTCTAAAGAATGTTTCTAATTTTCAGTCCTCATAGTCAGGAAGTCTGCGTTCTTGTTATCTTTGCAAACAGTTGTTTGGGATACAATGCAGCTTTAGGCCCAATCCAAAGGTTATTTTGCCCAGTTCAAACATTCCAAAAGTTCAAGGAATAAGACACACAAGGAGGTTCCTCTGGAATGGCTGCCTGACTCCATTTAAAATGGTTCTACTTATGCCAACTTTTCACAGAGTAAAAGATTTTTGCTTTGGGTTTTGTTGCATATGCTTGCTTTCATAATTATTTTGTTAAGTTATAAGCAGAAGGAAACATGTTACGAGTCCTCATTGCATTTTTAGTATATGTTAAAAGGGGAGTGGAACCATCTTAAGAGAAGCTTGCCACAACACCCAATTTTGGAGGTTGCTAGTACAAATGACCCAAAAAAGAGCCCTTAAATTACAGTGGAAAAGAGGAATTCCTAATGGCTAAATAATGGTTAATGTTTTTTACTGGAAACAAATTGCCGGGTACTCTACTAGCTTCTTTATGGAAATTAACTCATATTTAATCCTTATAACCATCCTTCCAGTTACATACTAATGTTATCCCCAGTTTACCTAAGAGGGGCGTGAAGCACACAGAGAAGCTAAATAATTTGCTCATAGTCACACAGCTAATAATTTTGGCAGTTTGGCTCAAGAGCAGTATTCTGTACAGTCTTTCATGAGCACAAAATCCTATGCTTCATGACTGAATTTTGCTTTTGAGGCTCTAAATCATACCAAATATACCCAGTGCCTTCATGTTTAAATGATTTCTTATATCTAGTATTATTTTCCTGGACACAAAGAGAGAATTAAATGCTTAGTTAGAAAGAAAACTTATATGCCTTCCTCCAATGTATGTTAAGCAAAATTGAATATGTAAGCTATTAATTTTTTAAAAGCAAAAAAACCGCAAAAAACTTCACATCTTTTAAGAATAATTGCTCTCTAAGTTTTTTTCAGGTTCTGAAGCACAATTATAAATTTTATGACTATTTAGTGAATGGAAGAAACGCATTTTCTTAGAAAAGGTCCTTCACCATCTTTGACTCTCTATTAGAATTAAATGGGTAGAATTAGGATCCAGTATATACAACATATGTTTTACATACATAAAATCAAAGTGAGAAGGTTTTAATGACTGAGGCAGCCCACATACTTCTAGATCTAAAATATTATCCAATTAGTTAACTAATTACCTAATAATGAAGACAATATATTTTACTCACACTAGAAGAAAAGGGACTCCATATCCTAGAATGCTTTATATCTTCCTCTGTTATATAAAATATGTCATAGCAATGCTTTGGGGATTAAAAACAGTATTAACAGGGTTTTCTTTGCCAAACACCACTACTATCTGCAAATTTAAATTCCTGAGTGATATTATGCACTAAAAACAAACAAACAAAAAAAACCTGAAGAACAAGAGAAATAACAGGTTTGAGAAGCTGGGTTACATTTGTTTCTTCCAGTTTGGTTTGGTTTCATATGAGGTAGAAGTTTAAGGACAAAGTATTTGGTAGGTTTAGTTTGGGGTTAGGGGAAATAACGTGGTTTTTTTTTATATTACTAATGAAAAATTACATACATATTTACATCCATAACAGATACTGCAAGTTGCCTAGTCAATATCCATTCTACCCTTTTCTTTGACAGACCCTGTTTTGTTCAGGATGGTAACTGTGCCCAACTAAAACTATTTCCTTCCAGACTCCTCTTGTAGCTGAGATAGCCAAATGATCATTCTGGCCAATGAGATGTAAGCAGAAGATTATCTGGTATGGCTTCCAAGAAAACTTTTGTTTTTCTGATAAAAGAAGGGCAGACTTGGCTATCTGCCTTTTACCATTGGTACTTTTTTCTTCTTCCTGCCCAAAGGAGGACCTAAGTTTTGGATCAGGCATGTTGTAACCATGAGCTGATGATGAGAATGAAATCCATGGACTAAGTATGCCAGAGTCAAGAGAAAGAAACCTGGGACAATGATGACATTATACAGCTGCGACACGAATTTCAGGCTGCCTAACCTCATCATCTGTTACTTGTCAACAAATGCAATCCTAACTAAAATTCAGAATTAGACACTGTCTCCTCAACATAGCGAGAAAAGAACACTATGCTATATTGTACTTACTATACTATGCAGACACTATGCTTTGATTTTGCTGCTCTCTTAAGTTATTGTGCTTTGCAGAAATCGGTGCTCTCTGTGACTTACCACCTAGTATTTGGTGAATAAAACACATCAATTTCTGACTATGAAAAGAATATCTTATATTGATTCATCTAATACATGAATTTTCCACATGTCACACACCACCTCAGGAAGCCTTTAGTATCACTGTGAGAAAGGATGACAAGCAGCTGTAGCAGTTTAGAAATAAGTAACTGGCCAAAGTTATCACCATGCCAAGTAATAAATACACAAAAAAGTATGATTATGTTTTTCATTTTTAATGAAAAACAAGTAGAAGAATCAGAATGTAAAGAGGGACCCTAACATTAGAATAGTCTATATGGAAAGCAACCTGCCAATACATATTAAAAGCGATGAACATGTGAATGTTACCCACAATATCACTGGAAATTTTCTGAAGGAAACTTTTAGGAAGGAGAAAAAAAAATGATGCGCATGAAAATGTCATTGAAGCATTTTTTTAAAGCCAAAATGTATAAATCTCATAAATGTTTAATAATAAGTATATACTATTAATCAAAGAAGTGCAAAATTTTTGCCTATCTTATTGCAGGCAATAGAGGTATTGCTTTTGATTGCTAATAGCAACTGGCAAGGATCATTGGAACAGCTACATACTCTCCAACAGGATGGGACACCCATCTCAAGGCAGTGTATCATGACCACTGTGGTCATTGTTGCTGGATTAAACACTTATATGCCAGACATTGTACTAAATATTTTACGTAAGTTTCCTTGTTTAATACTCACAGTATCTATCTGAGGTGATACTATATCCTCATTTCAAAGACGAGAAAACTGAGGTTTAGAGAAGTAAAGAAATTAACCCATGGTGGTGGAGCAGAAATTTGACCATTGTTCTGAGTTTCTGTAGACTTTAGATCCTAGACAACAGACTTAACTTTACTGCTTCTCAGTTAGTATATATCCAGCTTCTAGAAAATATTTATAGTAACATCCTCTCACCCAATATTTATCCATTTATTAACTCTACGCGTCTTTTGAAATGTCTGTTATGCTGGGCACTGAGCTAGATAGACCCTGTGATGTGATACTATGATGAATGGGTCAGGCAGAGCCAGCAAGAAATGTGGATGTGGACTGTGGAACAATGGCTTACGGGCAAAACTGAGAAGGCAACTAGGGCTGGCTTTTCAGCAGTGTGTGGCGTTGTCAAGAGATGAGGCTGAAGAAACAGGCAGGACCAGTTATTC